TCTTTGGGCTTTGGGCTTGACTTGCTCTTTTTTTTCTAGATGCTTGAAGTGCAGCATTAGCTTATTTATTTGTGCTTGTTCCGTTTTCCTGATGTGAGAATTCACTGCTATAAATTTCCCACTAAGGACTGCTCTCAGTGTATCCCACAGGTTCTAGTAAATTGTATTTGCATATTTGTTTGATTGCAGATATTGTTTACTTTCTTCTTTAATTTTATCTGTGACTCATTGGTTGTTCAGGAGGTTGTTATTTCATTTCCATGTTATGAAATCTTGTGGTTTCTTTTGTCAATAATTTCCAATTTCATTGCACTATGGTCAGGTAATGTGCATTGGATAATTTCAATTTCTTTGCATTTACTTAAGCATGTTCTGTGGGTTAGTATAATCTCTATTTCAGGGAATATCCCATGTCAGTGGGGAAGAATGTGTATTCTAATATTCTGGATGGAACACTCTGTAAAGGTCTACTAAGTCTATTTATTCACAAGTGTGGTTCCATTTTGTTATTTCTTTTTTCATTTTTTATCTAGTTCATCTATCTCTTTGTCACGGTGGAGCATTAAGTTTTCCCATTACAGTGGTGTTATTGGCTATTTGATTTTTCATGTCTACTATTATTTGTCCTATACAGTTGAGTGCTCCTGTATTTGGTGCATCTATATTTATGATTGTTATCTCTTTCTCTTGACTTTTCCCCCTAACATATATGTAGTGACCTTCTTCATCTCTTTTGATCATTCTTGGTTTGAAACTGTCTGTGAACAGAATAGCTACCTCTGCTGTTTTCTGGGTTCCTGCCACATGGAGTATTGTTTTCCATCCTTTGACTTTCAGTCTTTGAATTTCCTTTCGAATTAAGTGTTTCTTGTATACAGCATATTGTTGACTTCTGTTTCATGAGCCATTCTGCCAGTCTGTTTCTTTTGATTGGTGAACTGTATTCGTTTATCTTCATCATGTTACTTTACTGCTGTTAGTTCCCTATTTTTCCCCTCTGTTTAATTGCTTACCTGGCTTGATGGTTTCTTTCTGTTGTTTTTGTTGGAATTTTGGTCATTTTTATTTCTTGCTAGAATATCTTTCAGTACTCTTTGTAGGGTTAGTTTGGTGGTTATGAATTTCTTCAGTTGTTCTTTGTCATGGAAATAGTTTATTTCTCCATTAATTTCAAAAGATAGTTTCTCAGGGTACATCAATCTGGGTTGGAAGTTGTTTTTTTTTCAAGACCTGAAATGCTTCACTCGAAGCTCTTTTTGATTTGAGTGTTTGTATTGATAAGTCTTTAGTGATTCTGATGTGCTTTCCTTTATAGGTGATCTGTTTCTTTTCTATAACAGTTTTTAATATTCTGTCCTTGTGCTGAATATCTGAGATCTTGATTATTATATTTCTGTGTGTAGATTTATTTTGGTTATGGCTAATTGCTGTTCTATATCCCTCACTTATGTGAATGTCAGATTCTTTTCCCATGCTTGAGAAATATTCTGCTATTATTTCTGCAAATAGTCATTTTATGTCATTTGTATTGATGCTTGCTTTTTTGTTGATACCTATCAGTCATATATTGTTTTTGTTTGCATCACCTTGTGACTACTGAATTTTTATTTCTTGTTTTTTTGTTATTTTTAAGAGATCTTTCCTTTCATGATCTGTAGCTGCAATCCTGTCTTCAAGGTCTGAGAGTCTATCTTCAGTTTCATTCAAATGGTTTTGCCAGCTTTCAGTGGAATTTTCAACTTCCTGGATTTCTCTTTGAATCTGTTTCATGCATTCTAATTATTTCCCATATTGTTTATTCAAGGTTTCCATCATTTTCCTATGCTCCTCTCTTTTTTTACGTATGTCGTTTTTAGATATACTAAGCAATTCTTTCATTATGTCATATTTTTTTTTTACCTGAGAGATTATTTCTGATCTGCTTTTCTGCAGAGCCTAATGAAGTTGTTTCTTACTTTAGTTGGTATCATTTCAGAAATTTCAGGTGTGTGACTTCTAATTTCTTCTATGTTGATGTCTCCTAGACTTGTTCTGCGTGGGCCTGAGGTCTGAATTTGCATTTTGCTCCTTCATCTTGTCATTTTCTATTTCAAAAAAAATTTTTATTTTGTTTTCTGTGACGATCCTTGTGAATTTTGGTAGTAGGTAGGTATATCACTAGTATCAACGCCTCTCTAGGAAAAGTCTGTTCTTCAGGGATATCTTCTGTGTGTAGGGGATTCTTGGTTTATGTCTGCCCCAAGATCCTACCTTCCTAATTAATTGAGAGTGGGATGTTGGTTTCTGTTTGGCTTAGTCCCCAGTCTTTTGGTGTAGGCCTGTGGTGAGGTTATTATCCCAGAGCTTCCCAATATTGTTACACAAGGGAGAACAACTGATTACAACAGATATGACATCTTAGCTACAATAATATAATTAGCAATAATGATAGCATCAACCACAATTTACAGATTGACAAACTGTGGTTACTACTGATTTTGTATTTCAGACCATAGGAGCATAGTCTATAGTTATGTAACAAAACCAGTCACAAATTAAGAATTTATATGCAATGTGCTTCCCCTTGTTAATGTGGATTTACCCTGTTTCTATTCGGTATCTTTGTCCCTAAGCACAACACTGGTTCACCCATCTCACCACCTGTTGGCTTGTATTTCAGACTTTTCCCTCCTATTAGTCTCTCCTGTCCATCATGTGCATCCTAGTCCAGGTCCTTTGTGGCTTTCAGTCCCAGTGCTCTGGTCCTGAGGTGTAGTGGGATGGGCCATGTACTTGGGTTCCTCTGGACAAACTGGTTGCTGAGTCCCAGCCACTTCCCACACTGGCTGCCTGTTCTGTGGTGTAGGAGGATGGGCATGAGTGAGTCAGTTCCTACAGCTTCCAGACAGGTGCATGGCTGAGACACTGGGTATCAGTCATCTGGCTTTCCAGGGCTCAGACCAAACTTGGTTAGAATCAAAAACCTCTCAGGCCCTGAAAGGGTCTTATGTTAATTATGAATTATTATTTTGGGAATCTGAACCTAGGCCTGCATCTTCATTATGCTACTTTGAGGCAAAATCAATCATTCTATAATCCTAGGGCTTAGAGTGTTATATGTAGTTGAATACATTTAACCTTTGTTTGGTTTTCTCATGTATAATTTACAAAACAGTTCTTTGTATATACAAACCATTTTTTCTAAAGGCTTAATGCACACTTGAACCAAACAAGTACCTTGGGAGGAATCTTAAATTGGAGCTCTACCATCTGTACTAGAGAATTTTCACCTCTTTTCTCCTTCCTCACCCCTTGCTATAACCCCTCTTTCCCTTATCATACATTTGCCTGTTAGTGTTGCTGTTATTGTTGCACCCCTTTCTCCTTAATTTAGAAGATTACCCCCTCCATTCCATTTGGCTCTTATGGGGCTCCAGTCCTAAGAACTCTTTCTTTAAGGCACAAATGCGGTCCAATTAATCAGCTTCTCTTATAGGTCATGTGGTGAGAGCATAGTTAAATTTACAAGAAATCACCAAACTATTTTCCAAAATGACCACACTATTTTACATTCCTGCAAGACAAGGCTGGCTACATGATTTGCTGTTGTTCAAAGAGTAGAAATACAAAGCTCTTCTCCTGACTTGTCATGATGTTTTAATTTTCTCTTCATGCTATTAGCATAAATTTTGTTGGTACTTCATCTTTATATCATGCAATGCTAAAGTTCCCGTTTTCAATTATTTGAGTGTATACCCAGAAATAGGGTACTCTTTACTCACTTTGAGCATTGTTCAACTCCCATACATCATGTCTACCAGAATTCTGTGCTCTTGAGCTACTGCAAACACTGTATCCTAATGGGATGTCAAAGGGCTGGGGACTTAGCTCAGCGGCACAGCGCCTGCCTGGCAAGCGCGACGTCGTGAGTTTGATTCCCAGCACCGGGAAAAAAAACCAAAAACAAACAAAAAAAATGGGATGTCAAGAGATGGGACACACTCTATTGTTTCTGTTCACATTGCTACTCCCAGTTGTTCCTGTGAAATTCAGTTGCAAAACATCAGTTCAAAGGTAAAATTAAGAATTTAAAGGTAGTAACACAGAAGCATTAAATGAAGTGTGGGGCTCTTCTGAGCATAGTGCCCATGAAGCAGTTCCAGTTGTTCCATACTCTTTCCTAACAATCAGTATTGTCAAGCTGTTTAACTTTCATCATTTATATGGATGGACACAGTACCACATTATAGTTTTAACCTGAATTTCACTGATGTTTAATGATGTTAAATGTTAGTCATTATGTTAGTCTGTTCAGGCTGCTATATCAGAATACTATAGATTGAGTAGCAGGGCTTATAAGCCACATTTATTTCTCACAGTTGTGGGGACTGGGAAGGTCTCACAATAGTAAAGTATGAACTGATTTGGTGTCTGCTGTGGATCACCTTCTAGTTTACAAATGGCTGTCTTTTGCTGTGTCTTCACTTGTAGAAGGGGTGGAAGAGCTCACTGGGTTTCCACCCTCACAGCTAATCACTTCCCCAAGAATCCATTTCCCATAGCATTAGGGATTAGGAACTGTGGGGAAAAGATACATTCAATCCATAATAGGATTTTCCTGGATATGCTGGCATGCATATATTTCTGCTCTAAATATTATATTTTAAAAAATACCATTCTTTAACATATCGCTTGGTACACTGATTGACAGTACTATCTGTTGGATTATGCATCTCTTTCTGACACTAGAAGAAAAATGAGAAATCTTGCCTGGCTAATGACTATGTCTTTGGAGGCTAGAATGGCACACATATGAGATAGCTCCTCAAAATGGTCAGCTAATGAATAAAAGAGAAATCTCACTATCTTTAAATATTTCAAGAACTTTATCTGGTGGGTATACAGATGGGAATATGGGGTGAAGTTTTCCCCTGTGCTTCTTAATATAAGCAACCATGTATGGGAACAATTGAGACTGATCATTAAAGAATTCTCTGACGTTTAGTGTTGGTCAACATTACCCTTAGCAGCCTCATGAAGCAGCAACCTCCCCATCAGTGGCAATACTAGGAGTAAGATAAGCATCTGTCAGAAGTCTCATAGAGGGGATTCTGGATCTGAAAGAAATTAGCAGAATTAACAGTGGTAGGGAAAATATGCTCTTCCCTCCCCAGATGCTGACATTCTAATACCTAGAACCTGTGAACACTTTACCATGTACAGAAAACAAGATTTTTTATGTAATTAAGTGAAAGTCCTCATAAGGGGGGGATGATCTAGGATTACCAAAGTGGGCCTTATGTAACCACATTTTTTTGCAGTTCATGACTGTGGGGTGGTGCAAAGAATGAAAGATTACTCGAAATCAATGTCCAGTTGGGACTCTAAGAAGGCCCGGAGGGACTGGCCTTAACCGAGACCCCTCAGTGTGAGAAAGTCTTATCAAGACAGCCCTGAACTCAAGTTTCTGTGGCTTTGTATTGATAGAAACAGGGGGCAAGACTAAAGGACAAAGGAAGAACATCATTGCAGGAATTCATGTAGAGGAAAGGGGAAGGACAGAAGGCCAAGCTAAGGTCAAAGTAGTCTGTTTCATGACTGACCTTAAGGCCAATCTAAGTAATAAATCAGCGTATGGGCAGGAGAGGGCCAGAACATTCATTTCTTAAGGCAAAGTTTTTTTGTTTTGTTTTTGTTTTTTGAGACAGGGTCTCACTATGCAGTTCAGGCTGGCCTTGAACTCACTTTGTAGTCCAGACTGGCCGCAAACTCACAGGAATCCTCCTGCCTTGGCTTCCTAAATGCTGGGATTACAGGTGCATGCCACCACATCCAGCAAGGCAATGTGTTTTGACCCTACGTGGACTTGTGGCCCTGTAGGCTATCTTTTAATCTGGGAAGTTTTGGGCACATGGCTCCAAAAGTCCCTTACCTGTGCATATCCATCTTGTACAAACCTCTGGCCAACATTCCTACATGTTCTTAAAATCAGTGAGCCAGAATCAGCTGAAACATTGATGGCTTTGATGATGGGAGGAAGGAGCCACAAACTAAAAAAAAAGCCAGCTTCTAAAAAGTGGAAAAGGTAAGGAGAGGATCCACTCCCACAGCTCGCAGTAGGGTACACAGTCCTGAAATATTTTGTCCTTAGCCCAGTGAGACCCAAAGCTGTGTTGGATTTCTCATGTACAGAACTGGAAGTAATAGATTTGTGTGTTTTAATCCATTAGATTTGTGGAAGCTGAATACAGATGGTCACCAACTCAGAAGAGTTTGGCGACTTTTCAACTTTGTGATGATGAGGAAATGATTTGCATTCAACAGACACTGCACTTTTGATCTTTTCCTGGGCTCATGCTATGCAGTCTGATCTTTGGAGATGCCAGAAAGCAGTAGTGAGCCACAGCTCACTTCACAAAGGGAAAAAGACATTCTGCAGTGTGCTGCACTGCTGTCCTATTCAGTGGGTGAGGGGCATTCAGTGATTTTTCCACTTGCAGTATTTTCAACTCTTTTTTTTTTGAGACAAGGTTTCACTATGTAGTTCCCACTGGCCTTGAACTCATTTTCTGGCCTTACCTGAGCTTGAACTCCCAGCAATCCTCTTGCCTTACCCTCCTAAGTGCTGGGATTACAGAAGTGTACCACTATGACTGGCTGTGTTCTCAGCTTCTAATGGGTTAGCAAGATGTAATTCCATTGTTAGTTCAGGATCATTTGTATAATAATCTTTAGGGTTATTTACCAGATCTGAAATTCCATAATGCTAATTGTTTTTTTTTTGTTGTTGTTGTTGTTTTTGTTTTTTCTCCGGTACCAGGAACCGAACTCACGACCTTGCGCTTGCCAGGCAGGTGCTTTTGCCGCTGAGCTAAATCCCCAGCCCCTCCATAATGCTAATTGTTATAAAGACTGGAGACCAAAATATCATTCCAAATTTAAGAGTTATTAAACACTGTAGTGGTTTATCAAGAAGACTGCGAAATTTCTATCTCCATGGAGCTTAAAAATGAGAATAAATGAATGTTACCTGTCTAGAATTCAGGGTAAAGCTCCATCATCTAAGATGGATGAGCTCAGTGAAATCCTACTCCTCTGTTTTCTGTATGCAACTTCATACAAAATATATAACATTACCTCTGGTAGGTTATTACAACTAAAACTGAGCTTTTGTCCACACTCAGCCTCTCATTTGACCTCTAATGTTTGAGGCAGGCCTGCACTGTTTCACTCAAGAGTCTGTTACAACTGTTAAATTCTGATTTTATCTTAAAGTTAGGAATGCTCCCTCCTACTTGAAGGAAGTGCAGCCTCTGAGTCCATAGCCACTTTTCACACAGCTAGAACCCCCTTCTGATATCTGTTCTGATTTGTCTAGTGAAGGGTCCCAGAGAGGAAGATGACAGCTGCAGCTTATGCTTAAACTCCCACTCGGCATGCTTCTGTGTCACCTGCCTCTGGCTTCAAAACAGTCAGCAAGCTTGCCTTAAACATGGACTGGAATGCCACAATCTTTTTTGGGCACATTTGTTTTGGAAAATTAAATGGAAATTCCATTAAATTCTTGGTACTTGCAAAAGCAGCTACTCAGCCAGATGTGTGGAAAGCTTTCTTGAAAGCGGTCAGCTTTTTGACTCTACATTTGCTCAGGAGTTAGATTCTCTTCCTGAGAGGCACAATAAAGTCTGTATCTGTCAGAAAGAGGTGGAGGGGAGTGTGGGATAGGGAATAAGGTCGCAGTCATTTCCCTCGCTATAACAAGCATTTCCCCATCCTTGTGCACCAGCCAGTTTACCCTTATAAAATCTAGTTTCACATTCGCAATTGTCTTAGTTACTTTTCTCATTGCTGAGACAAAATACCTGACACCCGAAGTTAAGGGAGGAATGATGTATTTAGCTGTTTGTAGAAGTTTCAGTCCATAATGGGCTGGCTCCAAGGCAGGGGTGGCACGGCAGTAGGCATCACAGAGGAGAAACAGTTTATGCTGGATAGAAGGTAGCAAAACAAGCAAGGGACACTAAAAGGGTCTTTGTGCCCCTTTTATTTTATCCAGGTTACTCAGGGTGGGTAACACTCACACTCTTAACCCCAGTGCCCTTGAGTCTAGCATTGTACTATGACTCAACTCTAATTCTCTAGATCCAGCCACCTCTGAAAAAGACCCACCTATGACTGCATGAGGCTTTGGAAGGACATCTAGACACCAACCATAACACCAAGGAGGAGGTCACTTCACCTTGGAGCTGTGGCATCCATGCACATCAGTCTGCAAGTCTTTATTGATCAGAAAACATGATTATGATATTCTCATGGCAGCCTGCAAATGACTAGTTGTACTCTCTACAATTCTTACATTATTAGGACTGAGGGGCCTTGGACATCAACAAGTCCAGCTCTACTTCATCCAGATAGATTAACTGAAGCCCGGAGACAGTCTTATCTTAGATCATTTACTGAGTTCTAGCTTTACTTTTCAATTTTCAGGGTCTGATACGGTTTATTCTTTAGCACTGTGGTCTAAGCTGGGTTCAATTCGGGCTAGGGCTAAATATTTCAGGGAAAAGTCTAGCATCTCCGTCCTTGGTCCAGCCCCTGGAGCCCAAGAGATCTGGGTCTGAACTCTGGCTTTGCCACCTGTTGGCCAAGTCACCTTGGGTGACTTATGTAACCATTAACCTACCCACCAAGTCACGGAGTAAGCTTCTAGAATCCTCTGGTAGGGTACCCAAGAAGAACAGGGTAATCTTCCTTTCATCAGTCCGTTGGTCGGGGGCAGGGAAGGGTGGGTGGTCTGTGGCTTGGAGAAGTCAGAGGAGGCGTGACACGCTTACCAGCTACGCTGGACCCTCCGCAAATCCCCCCTACCCCGGCGCCGGGCAGACGCCAGAGGGTGCGGGGTCAGGGGTCAGGGGTCAGGGGTCAGGGGTCAGGCGCTGCCCCGAGCTTCAGGCCAGGGCCAGGGGGGTAGCTTTCAAGACGTCTCTGGGCGAAAATCAAGGGCCCGCCGTGCGGAGACCGAGAAGGGGCTGGCGTAGGGCTCCGGAGGCCCCATCCTCCCCTGCACCCCCATCCTCCTCGGCGCCAGCGCTCCAGCGCCCCGTAGATCAGACGCGGTGACCCAGGACCTCGCGGCATAGACGGCGGCCCAGGAGGGCCAATCCGGGTGATGGGCCCCGGGCGCGTACGGGCGTGCGCAGCGTGAGCGCGCGCGTCGTCGTGTACGTGTGTGTGCGCGCGCGCGCTCCCCGGGGCTGAGTTGGAGCCGTGCAACGCTGTAGCTGAGCGGCTCGTCTGGGCTCGGCCGGGCAGGTTTCGCGGCTCGCGCCTGCGACTTGGAGGCTTGGAGCTGCAGACAGCCCCGCGCGCGCCGGCCTCTCGAGCGTCATACTCCAGATCTGTCAGTTCCAGAAGTGTGATTGCTTGCTCGATTTTGGTTTCCAAAATCTGGTTTTGAAATCCAGCTCTGCAGTGTGTATACCCTGGTCGACACTTTTTAGGCAATCTGGGGCAATGAAAAATCGAAGTGGGAACTTCGGTAAAAGCCTGGACTTCTATCTCCTGATTAAACCCTGTGCCTGGCTTCCTCATTGCACTGTAGGATAAAGTCTGAAAGTCTTAATATGTCTCCAGGCATGTGTGATCAGCCCCTGCGGCCCTGTCTGTGTGTCGCCGTGGGGCTCCAGTCACAGAGACCTTTTTGCATTTCCTAGGGAAGCAAGTTCTGTCTTGGGCCCACACTTTAGTACTGTTTCCATGACAACGATTGCACCTTCTCTCCGCCAACTCATTCTCCTGCTGTAGATTTCGGCTTTAATGTCTGAAGGCTTTCACTAATTTTTCAAAAATTTATTGTCTCCGGCACTTTACGTAGGGTATAATTTAAAAATATGTGTTTTGCGTTTATTTGCTCAATATCTTTATTTAGCAGACAGCAGGTTTCATAAGGGCAGGGAAAACTGCCTCTTTGCCTCTGACTGCAATTTCAAAACCTCACGGAAGCTGGGGCACAGTGGATATTTTAAAAACACATATTGAATGTAGGAGGAAGGAACTTTCCGGAGATGGCTATAGACCTTTGATTTTGGGAAAGGGCAAGTGCATAGCCTGAAGTAAACAAATTTAGACTCATGGCCTCCAAACTTTCTTGATGGTACATTGCTTCCAGGGCCTTTTTCCCCCCCCTTCGTACATATTCCAAAAACACGTGAGTGTACTTATTTACAAATATTAAAATGTAATACATGCCCATCTATACTTACGTGTTATTATAAAGAGCACATCAAATAGAAACTTTGAAAAGCTGTTTTAATACTTGTAAATAAAAGTTCTAAAATACTTTCTTGCGGTGTACTTTGAGCCCACTGGACAGTTTGTGGGAAGACAGCTGCCCTCAACTGGTAGAGACCGCTAGTGTGAAAATTGGTTTTAACCATTTGGTTTTAACCAATTGGTTAAAGCCATTTGGTTTTCACACCGTAGATTTGCGGGATTCCACAGGTCTACCATTTTGTGGTCCCTGTGGATATGAATGAAGCCTTAGCATTCACAGCCTACATTAAGATGTAAGGTGAGGCATTATTTTAAACCAGCATGTCTTTGAAAGGCAGAGATATTCACATTGGGTGGTCATAATGGGTCAGGAATCACGAAAGGGCCAAAAGTCTACAGACTGTGCATCTCTGTCATGTCATGATCCATACGCCATAAAGGAAAAACTAGTCAGTCTGTTCTGATGTGTCAAATCTTACAAATTTTCACACTTTGAAAAAAATGAATTGTGTTATGTAGTTTCGATACACTGCTGAATTGTAAGCCATTTTTTTTCAAAAAGTATATATATACTTTCCTTCTTCTTGTAGCCATGATGATGGTGTTCTACATAGGGATTTGGTGCATTTATACAGCACTTCACAATCCCCTCCTTTTTTAGCTCATGTCCCTCCCCTCCTCTCTCAGTTCCCTTCCCATATGCCAAAGATCCCTCTCTATTTCCTACTGTCTATTTTTTATTTTGCACTTTGTTTATATGCTGGGTTTCTCATATATGAGAAAACATGCAATATTTAAGACTGTGTGTCTGATTTACTTCATGTAACATTATGGTTGTTACAGTAAATGTTCTCAATCCAAATACTAGGACACTAACTACCAACAATTCATAAATGCTTATGTCCTCCCTGAACACACAGTTCTTTGGTCAGGGCATCATCCAGGAATAGGTCCAGCACACACAATCTCCTCTGTAAGCAGCCACAGAGCTACTACTTAAGATTTTTTTTTGTTTGTTTGAACCACCTATGCTGTAGCCACACAGAATACTCTAGTCATCTCTTCTGAAATTGGATCACACAAGCTCTCCTTTCCAGACTATGACACCCATCTCAGAATTGAGGAAGTGTTTCAGCCTTCTCTTAAGGGTAAGAAGGAATCCATCCCTTTTCCCTGGTGTTGACATTTGAAGGCTCAGAAGATCCAGCTCACTTTGAGTAGGGCACCATGGCCTGTTCAGTACAACTGCAGCTGTGCACTAGAGATCAAAAGCATCCTACATCCCAGGTTCGTCAGAAGGAGATGCAGAGGCCGTGATACACATACTGTATTAATGCACTGAGGAAGTACAATGGATAGGAAAGAAATCTTTCAATAGTGAATTGTGTGTTCTTTTGAAGTCTAAGATTATAGAGGAATAGCAAATTCCAAGGTATACTTTTGCTATCTTAAGTGTCTTCCAGCAATCATATATTTCTTTATAGTCTGAAAAAATATTAGAATAAAATCATTTAATGTATGCA